TGTTCTAATGGTGTTTGTAAATAGGATCACAAGTCAGCAATTAACCACTAAGAAGAATATATGCGGTATATTATTTGTTGAAACTGTACTTCCGATTTGATTTGAAACTGTCTCATTGCTATCTGTTTATCAATAAAACTTCGAAAAAAAAAAGAATACATTACCATCTTTTAGTATGTATTGTTAAAAATTGATGATCTCAGTATTCGTGAAACTCATGAAGTTGATACTTTTTTTTTTTTTTTTTTTTTTTGAGGCAGGGCCTCATTGTACAGTTCAGCCTGTCCTTGAATGCACTTTGTAGCCAAGTCTGGTTTGGAACTTGTGGTGATCCTCTTGCCTCAGCCTCACAAGTGCTAGGATTACAGGTGTACATCAGCATGGTATTCTTTTGCATTGCTGGTAATATTATAAATACATTTAGAGAGTTTTAGAAAGTATTTAGAAAAGAGCTATGAGATATTTTTATTTCTAAAACCTCAATGGCAGACTTCTAAGCTGTTGTATAAGTAATACAGATAGTATTGATATTAATTACAATTTTATTTGTGATTTTGATGTGTTTACTGCAGTCAAATAGAGTAAGAATGGGAAAGCAAAATAACTGCTCCATAGAACAAACATACGTAATATTAAAAAAAAAAATCATTCAGACAAAATTGGCTGGATGTGCTAGAGCACACCCAGCACTTGAGAGGCTGAGACAGGAGGATTGCTTTAAGTTTGAGGCCAGCCTGGACTACATAGTAAGTTCAAGACTATCCTGAACTACATTGTGAGACCCTATATCAAAAAACAAAAACAAATAAAAAACAGAAAATTGTATGAAGGTTAAAAAGCCTTATTTGTTTATTTGTTTCTTTATTTATGGCTGACTCAGCCCACCCTGGGACCAGGGCTCGTACTGCGTGTGGTGCCAGGGATCAAACTGCAATCCCTGTGCGCTTGCCTAAGCTTGCCTAAGCAGGCGCTTTAGACCACCGAGCTATCTATCTCACTGGCCCAAAAAACCTAATTTAAACATTGAATTTAAAATACTGCTTTGTACTGAACTTTTTTAGTACATCATGTCACTTAAGAGCACCTATAACTCAGTGTGGTATGACCGTAAGATTGCTTAATTGTAGACCAGGTTTTTAGAAGTGTAGAGAAGTTTAATGCTTGTGACATACCTGAGGTGGTGGGGGTATGGCTCAGTGGTAGGCACTTGCCTATTATTATGTTCAAGGCCCTGGATTCAGTACTGTAACAGCAGGGGGAGAAGGGGAAGCCAGCAGAGACCACAGGGCTTGTGTAAAGGCAACAGGGCCTGAACTTTATTTTGTCTGGGTCGAGGCAGAGAGTGCAATAAGACAGTCTGCAGCGAACTAAGACAAGTATGTCCCGTTTTACAGGGACAGAGAGAAGGCAGGGGACATTAGGAGAGAAGATCTAATAATGTCTGTGGTCAGGGCTAGGAAGATGGCTTGGTGGTCTAAATGCCTGCCTGGCAAGCGCAGTGACCTGGGTTCAGTCCCCTGCTTGCCATGCCAGTCCTGGAGCCAGCCACTGAAACTGGGCATGGTAGCTCATGCCTGTAATCCCAGTGCTGCAGTGGCTGAGACAGGAGGATCACTACAAGTCTGAACTATGTAGTGAGACCCTGTACCAGATAGATAAATAAATAAATGATTTAAAAAATTAAAAAGAACAAAACAAAAGTCTCTGGTCAGAGTTTTCTGGCAGTCTTGTATCTCTGTGGGCAAAGTTCTTGGAAGTGTCCAGTGTGAATTTTCAGATGTCTCCAGATGTCCTGAGACCTACAAAATTTCTTGTCCTCTCTTATCTCCTTTTCTGTGCTTGACAACTTTGGTACTGAGCTGAGTTCCTTGCTGAGAGCTGAGCTTAACTGCAGAGTAGGGCTTCTGCTAGCAATCAAGCTGGGACCAGTTAAGCCTTTACAGATAGATACCCACAACCACCATAAAAACAAAACACAGACTCTGGGACTCTCCTGGGAGTCCTCGGGCTCTCCTCCTATTGTAAATAATGAGCACATACTGCTCTTGCTAGCAGGTTTGTTTTGAGGAGTGAACCGCCTCAGAGGTGGCTTTTGTGGGTTTTGGTAAACAAGACACCTACCGCAATGACTGAGAGTCTTTGTGGGTCTTTTCTGTATGAAGTTTGTCTTTGCAATGTGTCGTAAGGGAGAGGCCCAAGGTGGTGGTAGCATGTACAGCCCTATTCGTGTCCAGTGGCGTGGTGTTCCGAGCAGTCTTCCCGGGCATAGGAATGTGTCTA